AAAATTCATATTGTTGTAATAAAATAATTTGTAAAACAATGCATTGAATGTAGCGTAAATTGGAATGTTTCTTTGTAAAATTAAAAATAAGTTATTTAATTGATAAATAAATTTTGCAACTATAGTGAAAAAATAGGGTGGTTTGCATTATATTAGACATAACTGGTTGATGACTGCACGACCTCAGTCAACCGTGACCATGGGACCTGTAAAGGGCCCGAAACGTTGGTTTGTTAGAAAAACAAATATACGCAATTTAAATCCGGAAAAATAGTTTCATTTCTTATGTGTAACAATCGCGAAAACCTAAGAACTCGAAAAGTAATAACGCTTAAACCCTCTCGCGCCTTTAACCAATGGTAAATAATGCGCCTTTGCACTATCCCCTAGGATATGTATGTAGATATTCATCCGAAATGAGATTTAAATTGAATTTGAACTTACCATCTAAGTGTTCGAGATAACAAGAATACAATTTCGCTACCACTACGTATAGGGTTGCGGTATTATTTTATACCATTTTATTTATTCATTTATTGTAATTTACCTGAATCCAAACTGGAGCTGCTGAATTATTCAAAAAAAGCTGCAAACTTGTAAACTGACGATGTATCTGACCCTTCATGGAATAAGGAATGAACTTGTATCGAAATATTGATGCTGGCATAGGTTCCGCGAATATAGTTCCATATCTACATACATTACAGTCTTTCTTTTTTGAAGACGGAACAAAATGATTAAAGTGAAACTATTTTTCCGGATTTAAATCGCGTATATTTGTTTTTTCAAACAAACCGACGTTTCGGGCCCTTTACAGGTCCCATGGTCACGGTTGACTGAGGTGGTACAGTCTTCAACCAGTTATAACGAAACGTCGGTTTGTTTGAAAAAACAAATATACGCGATTTAAATCCGGAAAAATAGTTTCATTTCCTATGTGTAACAATCGCGAAAACCTAAGAACTCGATAAAAATGATTAAAGATTAATAATTTTGGCTTGGGTACAAGTCCTTTGAGCCGTGTCTTCATTTAATTATGTTTCTGTAAAAATTGCCGCCAAAGAGGATAGGCAATTTGAGGCGGCGTGCTTGGATTGACTCGGGATTCCTTAGAACGGGCCGATACGGGTATTTTAGTTCGAGATTCGTATAATTTCGCGTTTTAATCTTCGATTAAGGCACAATAGCACTATCCTATTCCACTTTAAACTAAATTTCACAAATTAATTGAAAGTCAAAATAAAGACGACACTTTTCCCTCCAAAAGGCCCAGAGCGAATTGGAGCAAAATGACATTAACAAGGTTGCCAGTTTTCAAAAAATTTTAAATAGTCATGTAATTATTGTCGGCAGTTTTATCGATCAATTATGAAAGAATGTACAATTTTGTTAAAAAGGTCTGAATTTTACGATGTTCTAATTGTTACTAATTGCATTATTGATATTTTTTGTCAAACAACTCCACTAGATTTTATTATGAATATTTAGTAATACAAAGATCGAACCCATAGAATTTTCATTTTTTTGACCGAATAGGACTTGAACACTGCACCATAGTATTGCTCCTACCAAATGAGGTACGGGTCAAGGTCAACATTTCCTAAAATGACGCAATTTCACAAATGTCAAATTCGTCTCTATGCTCGACGCAGATTGATTGTAAGGTCGGTCATTTGACTGAGATTGAAATCTTCACCACGCGGATGCTAGTAACACATCTGCTTTTTTTGTGTATAAGATTATTGATATTGATAACCTATATATTATAGGTTTTTTTTCTAATATTAATTGATAATTAGGGCTGTATAAACTGACAGTATAAAATCAAGAAACATTGATGAGCGCTGCAGCATTATTTACACCCTTGCAAAGAAATTCCACGTTTGATGATGTATAATTCATTACAAGTATACAAAAAAAATTGTAGGCGAATAAGAAAAAGCATAGAGTCCAAGTTTTCTGCTTAAAACCCTCAGAGGATGGAAAAAATAGTCTAAGTCACAACCAAATATATCTTTATTCGAAACATAAGCACACATGAATAAGTCACATTGATTAAAGACTCTTTCGTAAGGCAGAATGTCCTAAGGAGAATTAGTAGGGGTTGCTATTTGTAAATAGATTTGTTCATATTTATCATTACAAATTTCAAATATCACAGACAGTAACAAATGCTTTCTCTATCATAGCCTGGTGAAGTCGTCAACAACAACTGACATCATCATTTTTTTTATAAGTCTTGACATGTTTAATTTGTGAATTTCGTACACTTTGGGTGTAACAAGAACACATCTCCAAAATGGCTTGACCTGAACTTTTCAGAAAAGAAGTGTAAAGGCTCTACGAACAAAATCAGTCCTAACTGTTAGTATGCCTAAACACGAGACTTATAAAATTACACATACACGTTTTGTTTTACTGAGATCATTATCCAAATTATTTCCACAATACTTAAAGTTAAGAAATGATAATACCTACAATATTAAAATTTATAAGTAAAAAAGTTTGTAAAGGTGTAGTTAAAAATTACATCGACGGCCGCGTAACCCTGGGGCATCGTACCCAGAAGGCTGGCAACTCTCGCAACGCAAACTCACTTAGAATTAGTAAACTTATTCTTTGGCGAAAATAACTGCCTGCCCGTTCGCTAGTAGGTTCACCTGTGGTTTCCAAGGACTCAATGTTTCAAAGCAAAATGCACAAAGCTGTAGCACTGAGCAAGGGGTATTTAAGCCTCAGTCGCTATGGCGTCAGAGCCTGCGCTGCCCACGCTTGCAAGGACATGGGAGCGGGCTACAGTATCCACACAGGATGCATCCCACACCAGCAGTCTCCCTAACTTCCACGAACCGACAGTCATACCGTCAGATGGGTATCACAAACTCGATTTTTTTTTCCAAAATAACGTTTGATCGGATTTTTTATTACAACGAAAACCGAATTATAACGAAACCGTCTTTCAGGATATGTTGGATGTTTATCGCAAAGGCACGATTAAGTTACTAAGGTTTAAAAGAAAAGAACATTTTCCTCACAAAATTACTTTCGAAGTTATGAAAATTCGACCAAACGTTATTTCTGGAAAATGTCATTTCGGACTATTGATAAGTAACCGTCAGATGGATTGGATCATTGACTTACAATTATATGGACGTCGTGTCCGCGCTAAAAAGTGTCCGCGCTTGTAAGGCGCTAAAATCGTATACAGAGCGCGACACTCCGCTTTAGTCTTCATTTGTTCTACGGACAGCGCGATACTGCGATGACATAACAATTTAAATTTCGAATAGGTTGACTTGGGACATTTTTTTCGTTGTTTTTGTATTAGACCCGTTGTCCATTTATTTGTAAGTCAATGGATTGGATGGATTTTTTTGGTCAATTTCATTTTCAAATTCGAAATTATAAAATTGAACAAAAAACCGTCGGATTAAAAAAATAATAATAATAAAAACTGATTTTCAGTAATTTCTGAGTTTTAATTTTGACGTGTGTATTTTTTCGGATGTAATCGCGTATACAATCTTGATGTGTGTATTTTTTCGGATGTAATTCGCGTATATCAGAGTTCCAAACGTACAAAATCATACCATAGACAAACAACTGAGATGATTTTAAATTAGCTTGGGGCCTAAGAAACCCGAAACGTTAGTTTGTTTGAAAAAATAAATTTATTCGATTTGAATCCGACAAAATAGTTTCAATTCCTATCCTACGTAAATCGCGAAAACCTAAGAATGCGACGTATAATTATAATTCCAAAACAATAAAAAACAATAGATGAATTATTTATTCAATAGTTATAGGAAGCATATTCGTCTGAAAGTTGATATAACAATTAAGACCCTCTTACAGTAAACACTCCCTGTACATAGCTACCAAATTCCCTGTTCGCCTTAAAAGTCATAACAGTTTCCTGGGCACGACAAAGGCTAATTGTAAACATCCGACTGTCACTAAGTGTGCACTGTGGAGACAAAAAAACCACCTGGTTTCATCATCCCTCAAGAACAACTACCACCAGGTAGCGGTTTGCCGTGGCGCGTGTGGAAGTCCTTAAATCGACTTCGCACTCAAGTAGGACGCTGCAGAGACAGATGTCGCACCCCTCATGAAAGAATGGCATAAGTAGCGTTACGTCAAAAATGTTTATTGCTACATTAGATACAGACAAATTTAACACACATCCTCTCCAATTCTTGTAAATTGGTCGATAGAGTTACAAGAATTGGAGAGGAACTCTCTAATTTTACACATTGTGTAAAATCGGATGTTTGTCTATCCCAATCTGACTGCGGTGCCCCAACACAGTCCCTGCAGTACATGGTGTAGTGTCCCTTATGCCGTTATACCTGTACAAGGGAAGATCTCTACGCGGCCATGGATAGCGCAGTCAAGGTGACAACATACTTTTTAAATTCAATATAGTTTTAAAATAAAAGAAGTATCGCATATCGACACGTTGATAAGAAGTAAGACACTAATGTCAATTTGCTCTAAAATATGTCTTAGAACAACGTTTAAGTTTATAAGATACAATTAACACAACATAATTACTAACAGTGTCTTTTGCATTTCGAGCATTGATTTAAAACATATTTAAGTTGCTGCAAGTGGAAATAAGTTTCATCATGTCATTTTATTACTGCAGTTGAAGTGTTAACCTTCAAGCAAACTTTCGTATGAACACGAAGCCGTGACGCAGTGCCCATAATTACATAGCGCAAGTACGCTCTACAAATAACCAACTTTTGCTATAAAAGACCGTTAAAATGAAAAATATACCGTCCCCTTTAATTAATGGAACTTACAATTTGGCGAAAAAAAACTTGTTTACATTCTTCGATTCAAAACTTCATGTTGCATGTTGCTATTTCAATAATTGATTATATTTTCAATTACGTCATTTATGTACGTCATGTACTTATATATAAATATACAATAATATAGCCAAATAAAGCGTGAGGCAGTTGTCTCAAGAAAGAGTTCATTGTACTTACATCGTATAAAATCATATCGAGAGTCCTTGTTTCGGTTACTTGTTGCACTGTCGTTGAAGACTTCTCTTTTTTAGTCACAAAAATTATTAATTAATGTACTAATTCTCTTCTAAAATACTTTTATTAAGCTTTAGTCGTTTGGATGCTCAGCCAAAATCCTCCAAGTCCGACTTTCTTTCAAAGAAATTGATCAAAATCACAACACTGGCTGAAAATATAGAATTGTAGTAATACGGAATAGAACCTTTTACGAAATTAATTGACACTGATTCGAAATGAGAATGAGTAAGGTTTGAAATTATTGTCCATTATATTTTAAGCTACAGTTTTTCCCATTCAAGTACGGCACAGGGTACAAGCGGGCGAACCTTGTAAAGGTCGGGGTAGCACTGAGGGGAGGCCAGGGCGGGGCGACGTCTCACTGTGTTAATTCAGTTAAAGTCTTGAACGGCCTGTTTCCTACCAGATTCGAACGAGCCGCTTCTCATTTTCTAACAATTATTCAACTTGGGAAAACAAGTTCCATTACGAGACTATTTGGATCAAAAATAGAGAGACAATGAGTTTGGGACTTTTGTAAACACTTCCTATTTGTTAAATGTAATTGCTTCTAGCAGTTGTACGTCTCAAAGTTTTCTCTTACTTCGAAATAATAACAAATCTTTTATTATTATGGGAAATAAAATAATTAATTATTTGTGATTAGCTCCTTCATCGTTATCCCACCTTTTTATTACCTCTTTTCTGGTTCCTGACCACTTATTTTTAAAAATTTTAATCGCTCTCGAATTCCTTTTCTTTCACCATTTAAGAATAGTTTTTTGTTCGATTTATCGTCACTCCCATCAAAATTCTTGAAACGAGAGGACATAAATCACAAATCAGCTTCATTTACTTATTGCTAACTTCACGTCGAGTACTATTAAAATATTATATAATCACACATAACTCAAAAGGTAAAATCTTTCATCATCTCTTACAAACATCTTGTGGATCGAGCCTTCAGCATTCTCATTTCTCTAAGGGTCGTATTCTAGAACTCTACTCAATGCTCAAGCCAGGATTTGAGTATGGTTTATAGCACTTGAAATCATACTCAAGTCCCTGCCATTAGGGTCGTATTTCCAGTGCTTGTGTTTCCAGTGCAATCCTGACTTGAGCATTGAGTAGAGTTCTAGAATACGACCCTAAGGCTGCAATAATAATAATAATAATAACGCACACACTCAACATAGCCCCGCACTATGGAAACCCTGTGTCGCGGGTGCAATGGACACACGCATAGACAACCACAAATTACACCCAAACTCACGAGATAAATAAATGTACGCCATACAAATGTTTCTCCCTGCCCGGGAACCGAACCTGGGACCTCTGCCTGGCAGTTCAGCATGGTAACCGTTCGGCCACGGGGGCAGTTAATTTAATACTACAATAAAGTTATTATCTTTCGTATATTAGTAAAAGGTTAGGATAGAATGGACGCAAAAGAAACAAATTATTATTAAACAATACAAATTGTGCTACGCGCTTTGTTAGCTCTATGCAAAATTTTAATAGCAGCAGAGCACTTTGTGAAACCGTTCGTCGGACAGAGAATGTTGTTGAATTTATTCCAGACAAGAATCCATATCTTATTAACAACAACTTCATGATGTGTATTATTTGCCCATTCCGTATCAGCTTCTTATGAAAGTGTTCGATCAGGGAATTACTGCCACCTTACCTATTTCTGCCGCCAACCAGTAATGTGAACACTACTGCGTTCCTATTTCAAAGGGTAAGGGTGCTGGTGCAATTACAGGCATATGGAACTTGTCAACTTATGTCTCAGGGTGTCGGGCGCAGTGCCCTTCAGACATCGCCATATATTTCTGGTAACATAACAGCGATACAGCTCTTATAAATATCAACTCCCGTTTGTACTGAAATATACACAGGCCAACTATTAACCTGTGTGCGTCTCCGTATATTCCAAAAAATATTCTGAATTTATTGTAATAAAGATAGTTATAATATCTCTAACAATGCCGTGCTGTTCTATTCGGTGGTGTGGGAAAAACAGCAAAACATCTAATTACAAAACAAACGGAATCACATTTCATCGGTAATTAAATATTAAATATGTAATTTTGCAATTTTCGTCCATTATAGCAAAGCTCAAGTCAACTGATCGATTTGAAGTGAAACAGTTGACGACACCCATTGACGACTCCCGTCATTTGTTTCGAACTTGGGCTAGCCAATCAGAGCGCATTTGTCACAGTAATGATATGGCAGAATAGTTTTCAAACAAATTAAATGACATTTCGTTTCTATTTCTGGTTATATACTCGATGGTTTTTTTGTTGTGGCGTAGTAATAAAAGATTTCTATTCTATTCTATTCTATTCTATTTCGCACACCAGGATCCCACTGGCCAAGGGTTTCGACTCCAAAGGCTGCAAATAGGTAGTCGGAGCCTAAGTCCTGGTACTTATTACTTTTTATTCTTTCCGCCAGCTCAGCTGCGGAGCCAGCCCCCCCCCTTATAAATTCAAAATTAGCTCATCCGACAAAGAACCAAGGTTGTCGACATAGCTGGTAAAATAAGCAAGCTGAAGTGACAGTGAAGAGTTCTTAAGTGGAGACCACGGCTCTGCGGACGTAGTACAGGATGCCCTCTGGCCAGATGGAGTGACAATCTGCGAAAGGTTGCTGGCAGCAGATGGATGCGACAACCCGAGGACTGCGATCGGTTGATGATGTTTTTATATCCACCACTGCAAAATACTCCCTGTACATGAAAAATTAAAATATATACTGCTAGCTGAACACTTTTTTGATAAAAGTTTACAATCTACCTATAGTGGTGAATAAAGACGCGAAATGTCTGTAATAATAGATTGTTGATACCGTCTTAAATCTTTATGGTAAAAATAAATTAAAATATATAATACCTTACCTAATAAAGAAAATTCCTAAAGAAATAAAAATGTCGTTAAAATGTAAAAACGTCAAACCTAAATTAAAAAAATTACTTTTTAGAAAAAATAAAAATTAATTCGTGATTGAAATATATAATACTATCAACATACATAGGTATTAACTTTAAATGTATTATTAAAGTAGTGTTCACGACCATTTATTAGAATAGACTCGTGTTCAGCGGTGGGATGTACATACATGGATCAAGGTTTAGTGACACCCTTTATTAACGACTCTCATGCACACTACACATAGAAATTATTTGAACGACGAATGAACGGTATACGAAAAAACTTAGTTAAGTTTATATTATATTGGAATGTTTTTTTAGTGCTTTAAATGTAATAAATAAATAAATAAAAATAAAATATATAATAATTTTATAGCAATAGAGCTCCTTGAGAAACAGTTCGTTCAGGCAAGGACTGCCACCTTACATATTTTTGCCGCCAAGCAATTGTGTCCATTATCTGCATTCCGGTTTTGAAGGGTGCTGGTGAAATTACAAGCACTCGGAACTTATGTCTCGGGGTGACGGGCGCAGTGGCAGTGCCTCTCAGAATTTTGCGATTTGAAGCTCTGAGTGGCACTCCAACTGTTATGGACAGGCGCGTAGCTTACCGGGCACACGACTTGCTCGTCCCGTCACTTGTTATTATAAAAAAAAAATTAAGTACATACACACCACTACGCTTGTAGACGGAGACCTGCACCTGTTGCGCTTCTGACAAACCCCTTTCACCTCTTCCACTCGCATCAGTCTTCATACAATATCGAATGTGAACTGGCAATTGGTACTATCTCAATTTTAACAACTTTACAGGATGAACAAAAAAATTGTTTGTGTCATTTATATAGCATTTGGTTTATGAAATAATAATACGTAGTTTTTAAATATTTGTATTAGACATGTGTGTGTGTCATTGAGTATATAAATATAACCAGAAATAGAGACGAAATGTCGTTTAATTTGTTTGAAAACTATTCTGACATATCATTACAGTGACAACTGCGCTCCGATTGGCCAGCCCGAATTAGAAACAATTGACGGGTGTCGTCAATTGTTTCACTTCAAATCGACCAGTTAACTTGAGCTTTGCTATAATGGACAAAAATTGCAAAATTACATATTTAATTAGCAATGAAATTTGATTCCGTTTGTTTTGTAATTAGATATATTGCATTTTTTCCCACACCACCGAATGGAACAGCACGCCATTGTTAGAGATATAATCTTCATTACAATAAATACAGAATATTTTTGGAATATACGGAAACGTACACACAGGCCAGTTGTTGGCGCTGTACTATTTTAGCTTTCTAATTTGTAATTTCAATGCAAACGAGAGTTGATCCGCGACACCGCGAACAGCTCCAAAATTTTTTGCTAAAAATGACGAAATGTGCGGTAAATGGGTGTAAAAATACAACAGACAAACAAAATAGACACTAACATCGCATTCCACAAGTAAGTAATGCGTTTCAACTCATATTTTTATGTAAATATTCACTAAAACAGAAAAATAATTTCGCGACAACAAGATACGAAAGTGTTGCAAAGTAACGAATTTTTTTTCTCCCCATTTTGCTATTCTGTATCAAAATAATTATATTACGTAAATTTTAGTGGTGCCTGTAATTTCGATTTATTTGCGCATCTTGAACTAATATTTACTTGAATAAACATTAAATGTTTTCGTTAACTCCTGTAAGTGATTGGGACACTTAGTTATTTTATAATACTTTTAACGGCTCTGCGTTCATGCTTTATTGAATAATTATTTATTTTAATTTTATTTGAATTGGAGCACATATTGCAACAAATTTACAGTATATATTTGTTTCTACTATAGTGTTGGCACCACCAGTACAACTTTGATAGCTTATTATATGTCTTTCTTTTCGTAACTCAAGCGAAATATTTTATATTAAAATATTTTATTTTCTTAAAAGGGGAGCATTCTTAAGCGATTTTTTAATCTATTTTAACAGTTATTTTCTTTAATGTTTACTTATGGCATTTTCGGTTTTAGGTTTCGAATATGGCACTTATTTCTAAATCCAAGATGGCGGGCGCGATTTTTCGAATAATGGCAAGTTGGGTATCGTTTTCGAGA